AGCCAGAGATGATAGTGGCGTGGACCTACTAGGGGCAGTGGGTTGGAATAAGGTTATGTTCATTCCCTTCATCTACACAGGAAATTAGGAGACCTGGGAAATCCAGATTCCGGGATCCCAGTTGGAAAATCTCTCTTGGCCTCCTGCCCACCTCTGGATTTGGGATTAGGACCTGAATCATCTGCCTTGTGCCCAGCTGCCTGTCTATAGCATGCAGTGGCTAATACTCTGTGGCCATCTTCTACTCCTTCCCTTAGATGGTTCCTTCACTCATGGTCAAATTTTAATGTTTGAATTTGCATAGTTCATTATGATTTAGATCCCTACTCTTACAACTCTTACAAACACATGCTAGGGACCTCCTTTTTTTTTTTTTTTTTGAGTTGGAGTCTCACCATATTGCCCAGGCTGATCTGGAAATCCTGGGCTCCAGAGATCCTCCTGCCTCAGCCTCCTCAATAGCTGGGACTACAGGTGCTGGTCATCATGCCTAGCCCAGTGTACCTTTTTAAAGAGAATTGCATGAATGGTTGACACACTCCTCTCTTCAGTTGTGTTTTGGGTCCCTGATCAAAATGTCCAGATGTTATTTAATAGTCTTATGTGTCACATGGTGTTTTGGGGGTACACCAAGGAGGAGGCTGAGGTTCAGAGGCCAGACGACGGACCATGCCATTCAAGACTGGGAGAATTGAACTCAAAATGAAGAGGTCACCCTCATAGCTCAGGTGTCCCTGGAGCCAAGAAAGGAAGAAAGCAGTGGTGACTTTAATGGATTTATTGCTCTTTTCTGATTTTATGCAGCCATGCAATGGCTATGTTCTTCAATTGAGTGATGGACTTATAGACATGCGTTTTATTATGCTCACAATTTATGCATATTAGCTCTCTTCATTTTTGTGTGCCATCCACTCAATGGTAAAAAACAAAACACAATATTTAAAAATCAGAAAATGTAGAAATTTATTAAAGTAAAAATTATCTGGCTTATGAATAAATATCACTTTTTTGTACTTTTGTACTTATTATTAAAAGGTAACACAAACACACAGATATAAGCACAAGTAAAACTGGAGAAATCTGATCTAATATGATCTCCTTGTTTAGCTTTCTACTCATAACTTTGTAATAATTCTTAAAATAATGTACTTCCTCTAATATTATTCTTTTTTCAAAATCCTTTGGTTACTCCAGTTTCTTTGCCTTTCCCTGTAAATTTGAGAATCTACTTATAAGTAGCTACAAAAATATCCTACTAATATTGGAATTATGTTGATCTATAAAACATTTTGGAAGGAACTCTTAACTATTTTAGGTTTTCCAAACCATAAACATGGTATGTCTCTCCATTTATGTAGATCATTGATTTATTTCAGCAGCATTTTATAATTTTCATTATACAGATCCCACACATTTTGTTAGATAACTTAGTATCTCTTTTTATCCTTTTGGAGATGTTGTATATGGTATTGTGTTTTAAATTCTGATTTCCAAGTGTCCATTGTTAGTATGTAGAAATATGACAGGTGTTGTAATTGCTCTTGTTTCTTGTGACTCTGCTAAAGTCGCTCACTAGTTCTAGAAGATATAGTTTGTGGATCTAATTTGTTTGCATTTATTATTCCTTATCCTTGTTTTAGGAATTCTACATAGACCTTTCAACTGCAAATAGGTTTATTTCTTCCTTTCCAATATGTGTAGGTTTTTTGAGGGAAACACTCAGTCTTTTACCTACCAATAAGTATATTAGCAGATTTATTTATTTTTTGTTTGCTTTTGGTAGATGCCCATTATCAGATTAGTAAAGTCCCTCATGTTCCTAATTTTTTTGGAAAGTATTTATTTATTTATTTGCTGTTTCAGTACTGGGGATTTAACCTAGGGTGCTCTACCACTGAGCTACATCCCTAGCCCCTTTTATCTTTTTATTTTGAGATAAGATCTCATTAAGTTACTAAGGCTGACCTCAAACTTGGGATCCTCTGCCTCAGCCTCTGGAGTTGCTGGGATTACAGGCATGTGCTATTGCATGCACTTGGCCTATAAATTTTTATCATTAATGAGCATTAAAATTATCAAATCCTTTTACTGCATCAATTGACATGATCATATGCTTTTTTTTTTCCTTTTTTAGTCTTTAATGTAGATTTTGTTTATTGACTTTCAAATATTAGACCAGTATTACATCCTGGGATAAACCCATCAAGTCATTGTACATTTTATTCTTTCTATATATCGCTGGACTTGATTTGTTGTTAATATCTTGTTGAATATTTTTTCATATGTGTTTATAAGAGATATTGGCCTGTTTTCTTTTCTTCTTTGTTTGGTTTTGGCATAATACTCCCTCTTCATATATTTTCTGGGCCCAAATGCTATTTAGGTATGTTTTGTTTAATTTCCAAGCATTTGAAGATTTTCTAGATAGCTTTATGTTATTGGTTTCAATTTTCATTTTATTATGGTCAGCAAACCTGCTTAGTAGGATTTCAATTATTTTAAATATGTTAAAGTTTGTTTTGTGACCCAGGTTATGGTCTATCATGGTGAATATTACATGTTCAATTGAAAAGAATTGGGGCTGGGGATGTGGCTCAAGCAGTAGCGCGCTCACCTGGCATGCATGCGGCCCAGGTTCGATCCTCAGCACCACATACAAACAAAGATGTTGTGTCCGCCAAAAACTAAAATAAATAAATTAATAAATAAAAATTCTCTCTCTTTAAAAAAAAGAAAAGAGTTTACATGCTGCTGTTATTGTGTATAGTATTCTCTAAATGCCAATTCAGTGGATTTATAATGTCATTCATTTTCTCTATATCCTTGATGATTTTCCATTTTAACAGAGGCCTGTTAAAATCTCCAACTACATTTGTGAATTTTTGTGGGAAGCCATTCTCGCACGTGATTGGGCACCTCCCGGATTGGGTGTGAGGCGCTCTGGCTAAACTGTGTTGGAGCTATCCCCACCCTCTCCTGGTGCGAGAGCCTGTCCGTGTGGGGGTGTGACTGACCACTGACCCTGAGGCCAATCACTGACTCTGACCTTGGAGTGCTGCCCCCCTCAACCTTCATTGGGTGGAATTTTCCCCTGAATTTCTTGTTCCCCGATAAATGACCACTCCCTGGCGTGCTCTCTCTCTCTCTCCTGCTAGCCCTGAGTAAGCTTTGCTGCCCTACCGGGTGGTTCGAGGTGTGAGCCAGAGAGGTGAGAGCCGTCACGGACCTGGTCATAGAAAAAGGTAATTGAGTCTGTGTGTTTATTTTGATCTCACTAGCTAACTTTTATGCCAAGAACCTCTTTAATGAAACCAGTGCGCTGGTCGCATGGTGGAAATTTTTCCACTCATTCTTTAGTTCTATTGATTTTTATTTCATGGATTTGGAAGCCTGGTTGTTAGGTGCTTTATGTAATGCCAACTTTGTTCCTAGAAATTTTCCTTTCCCCGAAATCTGCTTTTGTTCAGTGCTTGCATGATAGATCTTTCCCTCTCTCTTTGCCTCCAGTTTACCCATTTCATTATATTTGGAGTGAGCCTATGGTGACATAGAGTTATTTATTTTTCTGTTCATATTGATTCCAACCATCTCTACTTGGTGTGTTTAACTCATTTACACTTAGTGTAATTGTGACTGTGGAAGTTGACCATTCTGTTCTTATCCATCTCGTTTGCTCTATCTGTTTTTGTTCCCCTGATAGAGGGGAAAGAACAACAAGGAGTCTTCCCATGCCCTTGGGACTATAGTTTCTCTAGTTAAGAGAATTTCACTTTTTCAGAACTTTAGTCACCTGCAGGGCCCTTGCCTCTCACTATTGCTGTTACTACTATCACAGTAGCAGGAGAAAACCAAAAGGAAGAGATTATTCCATCCCTCTAGTCTTCAGAGAGCCCCTTTCTGCTCCTGAGATATGAAAAACATGGCATTTTTTGTTTGTTTTTAAACAGTGCCAGGGATTAAACGCGGGGCCTTACACATGCTGACACTGAACTGTACCCCAGGGCAAGAGAGGGCTTTTCATTGACTTTTTTCTATCCTCAGTATGTACTTCTAGGTTCTGGTCTGGATTTGGGTCCAAGCCAGTGTAGAACAGAGAGTGGAGAATGGAAAACACATTGCCCGATTGTTCGTACTTCAAGTTATGGTTTCTTTCCACCTTCTGTCTGCTTCCAATTACTTCTCAGAATCCTCATCCAGATGCTGCATGTATAACATCTGGATTTTTTAGTAGTGTCTAGTGGGGAGTTACAGTGAAATGCACTTACTCTGTCTTTACTGGAATCAGAAACTTTAATGTCGTGTTTTGATGTTTTCTAATTTTTTTTCCATGCATATACACAAACTTAAAATGCTTTTAAAAATTAATGATAGAGGCCAGGCATGATGTTGCACATCTGTAATCCCAGGGGCTTGGGAGGCTGAGGCAGGAGGATCATGAGTTCAAAGCCAGCCTTGGCAACTTAGTAAGGCCTTAATCAACTTAGAGAGACCCTATCTCAAAATTTAAAAAAAAAAAAAATTAGAAAGGGCTGGGGATATGGCTCTGTGGTTTGTCACCCCTGGATTCAATCCCCAGGACCAAAAATTTTAAAATTAATGTTAGAAATGTGTTAACTGTTTTGCTATTTGCTGTTTAAAAATGAATATTTTGGAAGGTCTTTTTAATGCAGTAAATATCGATATACATCATAATTTTATGACTGCATAGTGTCCCATGGCACAGATTAATTTATTTAATTGATATCCTGTAAGTGGGCTTTTATATTTCTTCTGGAGTTGTCTCCAAAACTACAATTTTGTAGTTTATTTGTTTGATTTTTTTGGATTTTTTATAATAGCCATTTCAATGGGTATGAAGTGTTTGATCTATTTTTAAAATGATCTTTATTTATTTGATTGGAGTCAAAGTAAAGCTGGCTTTTTCCAGTCAACAAAGAATCTTTCCTTCTTTATATTTTCAAGCAGTTTAAATAATACAGAAATTTTCTCTTTTTCTATAGGTTTGAAAGAACTTCTCAGAGGAAACATCTAGATCAGTACTACTTTTTAGAGCTAGTTCTTACTGTTTACTAATGTAAGTAGTTTTTTCTGACTCTTTCAGAGCCTTTCCTGTCATTATTATTTTCCCCAAAATCCACGTATAGCCGGGCGCGGTGTAATCCCAGCGGCTTGGAGGCTGAGGCAGGAGGATCAAGAGTTCAAAGCCAGCCTCAGCAAAGAGCAAGGTGTTAAAGCAACTCAGTGAGATCCTGTCTCTACATAAAATACTAATCAGGGCTGGGGATGTGGCTCAGTGGTCCAAGTGCCCCTGAGTGAACAAACTGGTACAAACAAACAAACAAACAAACAAATAAAATTCCATGTATAATCTAAAGATTCAGATTTTATTTTTTTGAAAGAAATACATATATACACACACACATATAAACATACACATATATGTGTATATCTAAAAAATACTAATACTGTCTCTTCTCTCTCTCTCTCCATTACCTTTCCCACATATGTCTCCTTGTTCTCTCTCCAGGGAACAAGGTCTTGGATTTGTTCCAGTGAATAGTAGGGGACCACTGGGAGCAGACTGTGGGGCACTTCTCACTGTGGTCACAGTGAGGCAGCCTGGGCTCTAGAGCCAGATAGTCTGAGATCAAGTTCGCATGCCTTTATGTACTAGCTATTTGACCTTGAATAGTTATGTAACCTTTCTATGCTCCAGTTTTCTCCGGCTATAGAATGGGAAGGGGAAATGCTACCCACCTCATAAGCTTAATATTTGTATTAAAGAGTTGATACTTTTTAAGTACTTAGAAGGGTGCCTGGCATATATATTAAGCGCCATTTAAGTATTAATTAAACATAATTGTTCCTCAATATCTTCAGGGATTTGCTTCCATACCCCCCACCCCAACTTCCAGTGGGTACCAGGTACAGTCCCTGGGAGCTGCACCTTCTTTCTTCTCTGTCCCTAGCCTCAGCCTCTTTCATACTCTGTGTTAAATGAGCACCTACTGCATGCCAGACAGTGTTGGGGGGGATGCTCATATTTTCATATAACCTATGTACATTCTCCTGTATATTTTAAATCATCTCTAGATTTCTTAAAATATCTAATACAATATAAAGGCTATGCAAATAGTTGTACTGTATCATTTAGGGAATCATGACAAGAAAAATGTCTGGTGTGCTCAGCACAAATGTAAGGTGTTTTTTTTTTAACCCCCAAATATTTTCTCTCTGTAGTTTCTTAAATCTGCAGATGTGGAACCAACCGATATGAAGGTCCCATATAAATGTCGTGAATATATATACATATATATGTTATAACAATTGCAAAACAACCTAGACTTTCCACCATTTAAATATTTAAGTACTGTTTAAATATTGCTTCAATAAATCTAGACTTTCCTCCGGTGTCCTGGAAGCCTAGTTTCCCTTAGGAGTTTTTCTGTCCCAGATACCCTTTCTGTTCCTTCCCACCACTCACACTACTGCCTCTTATTTTGCAGAACCACTTCTGTGCAGAAAAACAGCCACTCTACTTTCCATTTTGCTGCCAGAGACAACCACATCCTCCTCACCTGCACCACAGGTCCCCATGGAGAGCTCAGGTCAGTGTGGTGGTGGAGTCAGGGTCTAGCAAACCTGACTGCTCAGTGAGGAAGGCCCCTCTTGTGACTGAGATGTCCCCCAAGGCCAGCAGGGTCACTGGCACCCAACTAAGTGAGAGACCCCCAATTCAGCTGTCCAAGTGTGAGACCATCTTGAGAGATGGACATGTACACACTTGTACGAGGGTCCCAGCTGCTGGCAGGTTGTCGAGTTGGACAGTGAGAATAATGACAAATAGCCAAGGTTTGTTACCAAACACAGGCAAGGGAACAAAACTGCCTAGCTCTAACAGTGATCAAGGAGCGATCAAAGCCCATGACAAATGTTAACTTACGTTGTCTTTATAACCATCCCCTAAGCTAGGCATTATTGTGTCTCTCTAATTTTACGGAAAAGAAAACTGAGTCATGGGGAGGGCAGATGGTTCCACCAAAGCCATACAGACGTCACATGATCAAAACAGGATTGGAGCCTAGCAACCCAGCATCCGTATCCTTAAGGATTTCACTATGGGATGTCTCAAACATACACAGGATTCTGTGATGTAGGGATATATCACTAGGGTTATCTTGTTTTCATGAAAGGGAAACCGAGGCTGAGAGAGGTCAGATCATTTGCTCAAAGACACACAGCTCAGTACATGGCAAAGCCAGGACTGGAACCCAGGCTAGCTGATTCCAAAGGTGAGATTCTTCATTCTACGTCATTCTGGGACAAGGAGAGATGACCCTTTCCCTGAATGAGTATCATCAAATGATCAGTCAGCAAGTCAAAGACCACTTTTTGGGCTACTGGGCACAGATTCTAATGCCCTTGAAGATTTCTCTCTGGAAGAAGGGGAGGGGATCACTCTGCCCACCCCAAGCAGGGACAGCTACCCATATATACCTGTATACATTTATATATAGCCATATGTATATAAAAACAGCTGTATGTGTGTTATCATTTATATACTGGCTTATGTGATTGTGGAGGCTGATAAATCCCAAGACCTGTATAGTTCACAAACTGAGGACCCAGGAAAGCTGATGTTCTAGTTGAAGTTCAATGGCAGAGAAGAAGCCAGTATCCCAGCTAGCAGTCAGTCAGGCAAGGGGAAACTCTTACTCAGGGAAAGGTCAGCCTTCTGCTCTATGCAGGTCTTCAACTGATTGGCGAAGGCCTACCCACAGTAGGGAAGGCAATCTGATTTACTCATTTAATTTAAATGTTAAATTCGACCCAAAACACCCTCACAGAAACACCAGGATGACATTTGACCAAAGGTGTCAAGGCACCCTGTGGCCCAGTCAAGTGGATTCATAGAATTAACCATCATCACATGTGGGTGTGGGGTAACTTCAAGGAAATAAAGATTAGTCTAAAAAACAAACAAACAACAACAAAAAAAGATTAGTCTACTTGAAAAATTTTCTTAGAAGATTTTAATCATGTCAGAGCTGGACCCCAAAAGAATTAGGGTACTGCTATCTCCTCAGTGCCAAGGTTTATATTTCAGAACAAAGATTCGATATATTGCAAAACAAGCTAATAAACAACAACAAAAATCAACTTTCTCCAACTGTATTTTTTTTTTTTAAGTACTGGGGATTGAACTCAAGGGTGCTTACCGCTGAGCTAAATCCCTAGATCTTTCTATTTTTTATTTTGAGACAGGGTCTCACTTAATTGCCCAGGCTGACCTCGATCTTGCCATCCTCCTGCCTCAGCCTCTTGAGTCACTGAGGTCACAGGCAAGTGCCACAGTGTCTGGCTTCCAACTGTATTTTTTGCATCTCCTCCCACCACCAGGACCAGCAGGAGCATTACCAGGGAAGAGTTATCCTGATGCTGTGAACTTTCTCCTTAATTCGGGGAGGAGCTGGGAGCATCTGGTCACTGGATTCCTCCTTGATCATTAACCAGAACTCCAAGCTGATCACCTGAGACACTAGTAGCACATCAGAAGTTCCTAGGGAGTTATAAAAAAAAGTCAGTGATTTGGCCCCACCTCAGAGATCTGGCAGAGGATGTTGTGCATTTGTAGATTTTAAAGCTTTTGAGTGGTTCTAGTGTGCGGTCAAGGTTGGGAACTAGAGAAAAGTGAAGCACTCCAGGAGAGGAATTGGTTCTGTCTGGGGTCACAGGGCATTGGAGGGTTGGCTTGCCAAGTCCTGGGACAGATGAACTTGAAATTAAAGAGCAAGCCTGGACTACAGGGGTCCTACCATGGTAGGGATCTTGGTGGCCTTTCTTCTCCCTTTATCCCTTCCTCTCTCCCTCCATATTATCTCTTCAGCTGTAATAATGTTGCCAAAAACTTGGTCCTTGTCCCTGATGCCAATCCAATAACCAGGACATAGTTTTGAGAAAAAAATAAAAAGAAAGTTTATTGCTTTGCTAGCAAAGAAGCACAAGGGACTCTTGTCCCAAAGGCTGTGATTCTGCCCATCGGCAGGAATAGGGGACTTTCAAAGAAGTGACTCAAAGGCTACATTCCACATGTTTTCTGTTGCAGTTGTAATTCACTTGTTAATTTGGAAGATAGTCATTTCTGAGATCTTCTGGTACCATCCCAAAGTCTGGATTACTTCCTTCCTATGGTGGGTGTGTGATCAAAGACAGATAACTCTGCCTAGGATGGGGAAGAAAGGTAATCCTGTTTCCCCTGAGAATAGAGAGTGGGGGGGAGATTAGGGAGGAGCAGGGAGAGAGGAAGAGAAAGAAACATGTCCATTTTATTTTATTTTATTTTTTAAAGAGAGAGAGAGAGAGAGAGAGAGAGAGAGAGAGAGAAATTTTTTAATATTTATTTTTTAGTTCTTGGTGGACACAACATCTTTGTATGTGGTGCTGAGGATGGAACCCGGGCCTTATGCATGCCAGGCGAGCACGCCACCGCTTGAGCCACATCCCCAGCCCAAACATGTCCATTTTAAAAACAAGTTGCAGTGGCAGAGCAGCAAGGGCTATATTCAAAGCTTAAAGTGGACCACTGTACAATAACACTTATGTGGGAACTGGAAACCTTTGTTTCAGACAAATGTTGCATTTCAAGTCCCAGGTGCGCATGAATAGGCATACACAGGGTCCTTCCTGGGTGTGCCCTTTTCTCTTTTTTTCCCCAGTAAGCAGGCAGATGATCTCATGCAAAAGCACAGCTTTAGGGGAAAAGCATTTGACTGGGCAAGCTTGGCTTCCAAAAGCTGTGTAACCTTAAATAAAGGAGCCTCTTTGCTTCATCTGTAAAGTGGGAAGAGAGGCTCTAGGGTCCTTCTTGGTGTGAACCTTGGTCATTGGAGACGTAATCTGGGACTAGGATAAGGGTTCTGGACCTGGAACCTATAAGACAGAGAGAACAGTAATGGTCCTGTCAAACTCACAGGGCTCTTGGTAGAATCAAATGACATACACCGTGGAAAACACGTTGAATATCCATGAGTCAAGTCAGAGCATGCTAGCTGCTATAACAAATGACGCCACATATCAGAGGAATGGCACAACAAACGTTCATTCTGCACTCACATCACAGTCCTATCTGGGCTCCACACAGTCATTCAGGGCCTGAGGCATTTTCCTTTTGTGACATCATCATCTTCAACATGTACCCTCCTAAGTCACTGTGGAATGGGAACAGTAGGGAGCACAGTGCACAAAATTTTATGAGGGGGGCCTGCAAGTCTCATACATCACTTCCTCTACATTCCATTGGTCAGAATAATCACATGGCTCCTCTGTAATTGCAGGGGAGTCTGGGAAGTGTAGTTTTCCTATCTTCCTTTCATGAAAATGAAATCCATATGATGAACATATAGCATTGACTTGCTACTTTTAGAGGATATTCTTTCAAGGGCTATTTAAATATTACTATTAATACCTAATAGTAATATCCTGCATTCATGGATGGGTGATAACATAATAATAATGAATGTAATTTATTTATTGACTGTTCTGAGTCAATGATAAGGTTAGACATATATATCATATATTAAAAATCTTGAGATACTTGAGCCCAAGAAATACCCCAATTTTTTTTCTTTGCTCAATCAAATCAAATCTACCTTCAAGCCCTCATTTACCAAGATCAATATAAATTTCAGTGTCTTCCACTTGGAGCTTGTGATAAGTCCAGGGCTTACACAGTCTGGGTGCAGGAAGAGTCTGTGGTCTTCTGTACTTGGCTCCAGCCTCCAGAATTGGTCAACCAGGCTTACAGTATCCAGGGGACATAAGGGGCTCCTTTGGGGACATTCTTTTGCTCTGGCAAAGGTGGATTAGGAGACCTTTGCTGTGGCTTTTGGGGGCACTGGGCTTAATGCTTAGATGCCTTCCTCTGATCTTTGCTACCATTGTTAAATTAACCTGTCCCAGCCAGCCCTTGTCTTTCCTATTACCTGGAACCCCATAACCCTTGTTCCCTCATGACCTTGAGGAATCTAGCTTTCTACCTTTTAACTAAAGGGATCCTTCATTCCCACCCTTTGTGGACAATCTAGCTTGATTGGCTCAATTGGCGTGCTGGGGAACTTGTGAATGAGTGAAACCAGGAGAATGGGAACTGTGAATTAGAGAAGCTGTGCCCATCTCAAGTGGACAGCCGCTCCCCAGCCCCTGTTGATTGCCCCATGTCAGAGGAATGCATGCCCAGTATCAACAGATTTTCAAAAGATGCCAGGCACCTAAGATTTTGCACAAAATCTCTTGATTCAAAAATGTTGGTGCTTAATTCATTTTTTAAAAGATACTACACAAGCCCAAACAAAAAACTCGTCTGTAAGCCAGATGTGGACCAAAGCCTGAGAGTTTGTTCCAACTACCCAGACTTTCGAAAACAAAGTTTATTTGAGATTGTCTCCTGGGGCTACTGGCAACTTCTCTATTTTTCTCTGAAACATAAAAACATAACTCCCCTTGCAAAGCAGAGGAACCTTTAGGGCTCAGAGGACAAAGGCCTGGCTTCCCTTCTAATGAGGAGGAAAGGAGGAAGTCATGGTGGTTGTGATGTTAGGTCTTTTTGTCCATAGAAAGAGAAAGAGATGGGGTGAGGGAGAGGGAGGGAAGGAGGGATGAGAGGGAAAGAGAAAAAAGGAGATACAAAAAACATCAGTTAATGTCTGAATAGCTGCCCCTAAATTAACCCATTAAATCTTCATGAAAGGTGAGTAAATGGAAGGACAGACTGGGACCAGTCTCCATGCCAGGCCAAATGACTTCCTTGCCTGTTTGGGAGGGAAGCTGCCCTATCTGTAGGATGTCCAGGGGGAAGATGGGGCTCCAGCACTCCTGTCACTCTTACCCTGGAGGAGAACCAGAATGGAGCCTTGACAGGGGGAAGTGTCCCACAGGAGGACAAGTAAGAGCCAAGAGGAAAGTGGGGGCTTCCAAGATGTCAGGTGGCCCCCATGGACTTTGTCTAGGCCCACCCCAGAGCCATTGAGGGGCCACTTGGTGAGCACCAGGAAACAGGGAGCCTTGGCCTGAACAGTTTAACTCTTGAGCCACAACCTAAATTAAATTTATAATCTCTCTCCTACTTCCTTCCAGAGGAATCTGGCATGATTAAGGTTTATATTTAAAAGCATAAACACTGGGCATGGTGCTGCATGCCTGTCATCCTAGTGACTCAGGAGGCTGAGGCAGGAGGATCGCAAGTTTGAGACGAACCTCAGCAACTTAATGAGGCCCTAAGGACTTAGCCAGACCCTGTCTCAAAATTTAAAAAATTTTAAAAAGTTGGGGGTAGGGGTGCTGGGGATGTGGCTCAGTGGTTAAGTGACCCTGGGTTTAATTCCTGGTGTGAATAAATAAATAAATAAATAAATAAATAAATAAATAAATATAGAGCTCAAAGCTGAAACACCCAAGAGGAGCCAAAAAGAGAGGTCCCTGTCTCTTGAGATGAACTGATTCTTTGAGGCTAAACCCTAATTCGGCTTTAAGTTTCCCGGCAGCCAAGTCAAAAAGGGAAGCCCTGAGGCATGTGGTCCTCCGTTGTCTGCGACCTCCAGACTCTACATTTGCCTGTAAGGACAAACTCTTGGTGGGAGCTCACTACAAAGAGGAATTTGTTGTGTGGGGAGTGTTTCCTACACTTCCTGTCTATGCTGGATCCTCCAAGAAGCGGACACCAAGACAAGCTTAGATGTGCAAGGATGTATTCGAGGAAACACCTGCCAGACAGAAGATGAGGAGGTTGCTGGGAGGGTGAGCTGCCCCACAGCAATGCAAATCTGACCCCAAAGGAAAGAGAAAGAGAAGCAAGGCCAGGTGGAAATGTCTAAGACTGTCTGGGATGGGATTTTGCATAAATTAATCTGAGAAAGGATCAGCAGGATGGTGGAGAGCTTTGAGGCAAAGGTAGCTGTCCCAGCAGGTATCTCTTGGGGATGCCTTTGGAATCCCTATTGCCGGCCATGTTGTCCAGGAGTGTGGTCCACAAGGAGCAATGGATTTCACAGCACAGCAGCTGCGGGGCCAGGGTCAATTAAACTCCCAATAGCGGACTATCAGCAAGGTGCATTTTCCTGGCTGCCACACTTTGCAAATGTCCATTGCTTCTTCTTGTACCAACTTTGTGTTTTTGCCACATCAACATACCACTATTAAAGAAAAAAAAAGTATTCTGACTCTTGTCAAGCAATAAGGCAGACTTTGTTGAAAAATGATTGCAATAGGAAAGAGAGAGCAGGCTCAACTCAGAATAAGGAAAACAGTTGGGGAGCAGGATCCTTGGATAGAAACACCCCAAGAGGAGACATCCACAGAGAGGGATTCTTGCTAAACTGACTGGACAGGATTCTTACTAGAGGCAGGTCTTATACATGGAAATTGGGGAATGAAGAGATCAAGGGTGGGGAAAGCTCTTTAAACTGACTTAGAAGGATTCTTACCAAAACTGGGCTGGACAGGCCCAAAACAGAGCAGGCAATAAGGAAGGTCAAGGCCTGGTTGAGAAGAGAGTTCAGAGGAGCTAAGGAAGGTTTGATCAAGGACGGTCTTTGTTACCCCTTGTTACATGGTGTTTAGCTCATATGTTTCTTTAAATTGACTTTAAATTTTAGTTTCATGTATAGATTGAGGGACTAGTTATACATATTTTTCAAATATACATTAAAATAAATGCATAGTTATTCAAATTTTAAGATTGTTATACACCACCAAAAATCATATTGCATATCATCAGGAGTAAAAAATAGTCCCTCTTTATCCACCGGAAATACATTCTAAGAACCTTAGTGAATGCCTGAAGCCCCAGAGATTACCAAATCCTTAGCTGTAATTCTGGGTTTTTTTCCCCCATATTCCTTGCAGTAAGAATTTATCTGTTCTTCCATGTTTTATGCCCTTGTGCATCTTTGAGTCCTTCTCTAATGCTTTGGGGGCCATTATTAAGTAAAATAAAAGTTACTTGAGCCCAAACACTACTATACTAGGATGGTCAATCTGGCAACCAAGACAACTACTCAGTGACTATCAGATGGGTAGTGTACACAGCATGGATACGCTGAACAGTGAGATGGAGAGCAGCATGATATGAAATTTCATTATGATACTCAGAACGGCAAGCAATTTACAACTTATCAGTTATTTATTTCTGGAGATTTCCAATTTAGTATTTTGGGACTGCTGTTGATTATGAGTAACTTGAACTGTAGAACTGCATTTTGGGAAATGCTGATTTTACTGGGAAATGCTGGCTTTCCAGAGGACCAAGGACATAGAATTACGGATGGAAATGCCATCTTCCAGCCTTGACCCGTGTGCTGGTTGATTACTTGTGGGAACCTCTTGAGGTTCATGGAAAGGCTAAAGATATTTTCAGGGCAAAGAGAGGTGGGTGCAGGAGTGAGGCCAGGTGGGTCTAACTCCAAGTTCCTGGCCTACCTCCAGATGCAGAGTTGGACCTGCAGAGAAGTGTTCAAGCTGTGCTCCGGGAGCTCAGTGCCCAGGCCCCCGCCCTGCAGAGCAACCAGGGTAAGAGCCACTAAGCAGGCAGCAGCCATTCGCTTTGCCTCCCCCACCCCACCCCTCCATCTCTGCCCATGTATTCAGGAAGGATCCTGACATGGAGCCAGCAGGCAGGGGCTTCCAGCCTAGAGCCCTCCCCGCTGGAGGTCCACCAGAAATGGCTTCTCTGCTCCCTAGTGTAACCTTCCCACCAGCTGTGGGAGAGTACATTGAGGATCTGCCCTTCTCTTTCTTAGCCACCGTGCCTAGCTCTATTTCCAAACAAAACTCCCCTCTAGGCCAATAGAACTTCCAGAAGGTGGCTGAGACACGCATTTGTAAACCAGTCTCTATGATCCACATGCATATACTTTCTCCACATTTATCATCCTCCCCTCATTTTTGCCCCGGGAATTTGCTGTCCTCTAAGTGTTGCAGAACAGAGTCCCCCCATATGGAGGAATCCACCTATGATGTGCACCTGGAGCCCAAGGCTGGCTGCAGGGTCAGTGTTGGGCCCCAGGCTCAGGGTCCTGCTCAGAGGAATCTTTTCTAAGAGCTGTCTGCCTTGCCTGGTCTTGCTGGGTTCCCCTGTCTCCTGGTCCAGGCATGTGGAGGTGGTCCCTGCATAAGAAGGTTGAGCGAGATCCTGGTAAGAGCCCAGTGCTGGTCCGCATTCTGCTCAGAGAGCTGGAAAAGGTGGGTTCTGGGCTTCCTGGAGGTAAATGGGATTGAGAGGGGCTCATTAGCTCTGTGTCCCCAGACTTGGATCATTTGTGGGGTCATATGCTTGGTGTTACCATGCATATGTCCCTCTTAGACTTTTAGATAAGCAATATTTTCTTTATGTTACCTCCCCCCACAGAGTTCCCTGTACCCACGCCCCACGCATAGAGGGGCTGCCTTACCTCTGCTCCCTCCCCACCCCACTCCTCCTCTATCCTTTTTAACCCTCTTGGCATAATGAGATCTGCCTTCCACCCCCTCCCCTGCCCAAACTGCCTCCTGTTACGATGAGATGCCTGCCCCCACCCCCCCACATCACAGGATCTCCTGTTTTCCAGGCAGAAAGCGAGGACCTCCGGCACATCATCATCCCCCTGCTACACACTCTAATGTATGTGCTCACTAAGGTGAGCTGGGGGCTGGGTCCAGGTGGTAGTGGTGCCCCACAGGTGGTCGGGCGGAACACTGTCCTCTCCCCTCTCACCTAGTCCCTGCCAGGGGAAGCTTAGTCAAGCTCTCAGATTGCTTCCTGCACACTGGCTTGTAAGCTCCCTTTCTCTCCTACTCGGGGAAGCCGAGGCAGTGTGGAGAATTCATGGAGAGCTTCCAATGGCAGCTTGGGTTTGCTCATAGTTACTACATCACTGATCCCTACAAGAAGGAAAGACATACCGGAAACAGATTTTTAATGTCTTAGGAAAAGTACCCAGGAGCTGTGTGTAGTCTTGGGGGGGTGGGAGGGAGTGGTGAAGAAGAGGAGGGGCAAGAAGAGCAAATCTGGAGCAAACCAGTCTCTTTGATCCACATGCATATACTGGGATAAGGATGGAGCTTGGCTCCCCAGCAAAGGCCCAGGCCCAGGGCACAGAGAGGAAGAGGAGGAAGGGGCGGAAGGGGAACCTCTGGGCATTGTGGGAGACACCTGTGGCATGCAAGGAGGAACAAAGGAGAATCAAGGAGTAACTCCAAGATTCTGAGACTGCAGAACTGCAGAGGTGTGCGGCCTGGGTGAGCAGAAGGGTTGGGAGGGGAGCTCACGGAGTGCAAGGAGATGAATTTCTTTCTTGGTTAGCTGGAGTGGGGCATCCAAGGGAGGTCTCAGATGCTGGGAGAAGAGTCTGGAAGTTGTGGATTTGGAAGAGAGCTGTGAGCTGAGTCTGGCTAGCACCTTCCTCCTCTCCCACCCACCCCCACCCTACCCAGGACCCTTCATGACCTAGAGTTTGGGGCACCCCAACTCCTCCCTCTCGTTCAGGCCACAGGCATCACAGAAGAACTCTACCAAAGAACCTATGCCTTCTGCACCAGGTTACTGACCCTGCCCACCCCCTACTGCACAGTTGCCTTGGACTGCGCCATAAGACTGAAAACAGAGACAGCCGTCCCAGGTGAGAGCCACTGGGCAGCCTCATCTCCCATGCTGCTTTGCAAGCACCACCCAAGGTCTATCCCCTTTCTCCACGATTCCAGGGAGCTCAAGAGTCTCAGCACCTTGCATGGGAGGGAGGGGATTGGGAGTCAGAGACTCAAAGCCTCATTGGCTGACCTAGTCTGGTCTATAGGGACACTGTACCAAAGGATGGTCATTGCTGAACAGAACTTGACGAATGAACTGTATCCCTACCAAGAGAGGTGAGTGACTCCATTATGATTGCTGCCTGCAGCCCCTTTGAGGTGTTGAGGCTCTCGTGTGATTGATCATGAGCAGGAGGACCAAAGAGGAGGCTAGATTGAAGAGTCCTGGCAGAGCTTGGTGGCCATGACTTCTGTCCTGCAGTGGCCTGAGCTTGGAGTTCAAGAGTTGTCAGGACATATCTTTTTCTGGAGTCCATTGGAAGGAAAGGCCTCTGTTCTTGGCTGGATTCAAAGCAATCCTGCTCATGGGCAGAGGGTGCACCTGGTCCTGGTCCTGAGGCTACTCTGCAGTTCTACTGTTGAACCTCCATCCTGCCCTTGGCCATCATGGAGCATCAAACCAGCCAGGCAGCCAGAGGCAGCTCCAGAATATCCATAGTGTACGGGTTGAGGCCACAATCATGCAAGGAAATCTGTGTGCCCAGCCTTTTACATAGGACTGTCTACTGTTGGTGTTGGCGAGAGGGGTGATGACGATGGGGGTATGTGCCTCTCTCTTCCACTGACTTGACATTGAAAAGGTGCAGCTTGAGTTGAGGTTTAGAAAGAGTGCAGGGAGGTAGAGGGGGACCCAGAGCAATTAGTGCTGGAGAGGTAGGGTGACAGTTGAGTCAGAAGGAGGGTGTTCAAGAATGGTTTTCTGGTGTGTTCGGGGTGATGAGAGAAGATGGGTTGGTTCATTGTTCTAGCAGGAAGGACTTAGGGTACCTCCCAGAGGATGACAAGGTCCCTGGGTCAGGATGCTGAGGGAGGGAGCAGGATTTGGAACTTCCCTTGACACAGGGCTAGTCCTGCTTCCTGTGTGAAGACAGTGGGCTGCAGCGGAGGGAACTAGAGCTGTCCCCTAAAAGGTTCTGTTGTCCTCACTACCCCTTATTGTCATCTCACTATAGATTTTTAAATTTGAGGCTCCTCTTTTCAGAGGAATTCTTGTGTTGTATGTGTGTGGGGGGAGAGGTGGCTCCAAGCTTTGAGGGTGCCCATCCCCAGTGGCCCCTCTCCCAGCTGTCCTCTTCACCAGTCCTGCCCCTTCCCCCACCCCCACCCTCAGAGTGTTCCTCTTCGTGGATCCTGAGCTGGTGTCCGCCTCTGTGTGCAGTGCCCTGCTGCTGGAGATCGAGGCAGCCCAGGTGACCCCAGAGGCCTGCATGCGCCACGTGGTTTCCCACGCCCTGCAGGCGGCTCTGGGGGAGGCTTGCCACGCTGGTGCTCTGCACAGGAAGCTGCAGGTAACTGACGCCCAGGCCCTGCGTATCCACACCAATCGCTCACTGATCTCTTCCTGCTTCTGTTTCATATCACCTTTCCTCCCGCAAATCAGCAATGAATACATGCTTACTAAGGACAATCTGAAAAGTGCAGATAAGCTAAAGAAGAAAATAAAAACACCTCCACCCAGAAATAAGAGCCATGAACTAAATATTTTAGTATATTTCCTGAATAATAATAACAGTAATTATTATGGCCACTGTTTATTGATTGTCTATGGTGTTCCAGGCACTCTGTTAAGCCCTTTCGGTTTTCTCACATTTTGAAATTCTCCTAATGGATGCAATTATCATCTACACTTACAGATGGGGACATTAAGGCAACAGAGAAGTTGATAACATTGTGGTCATACAAATACAAAGGGACTGAGCTAGGATTTGAACCTATATCAAGCTTCTATTTAAATTGCCTCCCAGCCCCCACCCCCACTCCTTTATAAAAAAAATTAAGATATTAAACTCTGTAACAGTTTTATATAATGCATATGTCTCCAGGTACATGTGTATTTATCTTCCTATGCCATTGGAAATATGCCGCGTAGAAATATTTTCTTTCTAAAATATGAACTTCTAACAGTTGCACAATATTCTCTCTTGTCCTGTGTTGTTATATTTAACCAACCCCCCATTTTGGTTGTGGCGCATTTGGTCTGTTCCCAACACTTATTTATTTCCTAGCTTTTCTCTGACTCAAACTTGGCCCCTATATGTGGCCCAAGAGATAAAGTAGGTTGGAGATTTTCTAGCCAAGGGTTAGCACCAGGTGTTGGATCTTGGGTGGTGGAGGACTGCTGCCTGTTGGGCTCACCTTTTGTGGGGTGGTGGAGAAGACTGGGGAAGGTTGGATTCCTTGACAGTTAAGGTTGGGAAATGCTAAGATTTGGGACAGTGATGCTGTTGCTGCAGGAGGGGCCAGGCACCCAAAAGAAGGATGCCCTTAAGGGTTCAGCTGTCCCCTACTCAGCCTGCCTCAGGAAGTGGGTATGTGTTGGGGCTTGCAGGGGAGGCTTCAGTTATTTTTTTCCAACTCCATGACTCAGGCCCTGTTTTGCCCATTAAAATGCATTTGATGGGCCAGGCACAGTGGCGCACTCCTGTAATTCCAGCAGCTCTAGAGGCTGAGGTAGGTGGATCTTGAGTTCAAAGCCAGCCTCAGCATATTAGCAAGGCCCTAAGCAACTAGTAAGACCCTGTCTCTAAATAAAATACAAAAAAAAAAAAAAGAGAGAGAGAGAGAGCCGAGGATGTGGCTCAGTGGTTAAGTGCCCCTGGGTTCAACCCTGGTACCCCCCTCCAATGCATTTGATGGGTTACTCTTCCTACTGTTGTTTTCCATATGAAATTCTCCACAGCCTGAACCCTATACCTTGGATCCTTTGGCGGATCCTTCCTTTAGGTAATGTTGTGTCCCTCCTTAAACCATTGCAGGCCACAGACTATGTCCCCATAACAGGGTGTGAGGGGTAGAGATGAGTCTTGGTTGCAGGCAGCACCGGGCAAAATGCTGCAGGGCAGGAGTGGACCCTAGATGTCAGGTCCAGGTGCCTTTGACTGGCAGCTCCCACCCAGCCCTCAGGAGCAGAGACAAGGTGCCGTGTGGGGCTGGCATGAAAGCTGATTGGGTGGATGCGGGGCCAGGGCTCAGGCTCTGACGTCCCTCCACGCAGGCCAGCTCCCGCCGTGTCCTGGAGCACTATTTCCACGCAGTGGTGGCTGCAGTGGAGCAGATGGCGAGCGAGGCCAGCCCAAGCCGGGCGGGACACCTGGAGAGGCTGGAGGAGATTTACTGCTCGCTGCTGGGGCCGGCGGCCACAAGGGGACGCTGCAGCGGTAAGCTGGGGACCTGCTGGGACACTTGACGGCAGGGGGCGACCGAGAGCAGGGCTGTACCCGCCTGGAGTCAGCCAGGATTTGGCAGAGCCAGACAGCGCCTGTCATAGTAGCCTGTGGATTGACAGGAATGCCCAGGGACATGGCAGGACCTGGGCTAAGAAGGTGGCTCATTCGGTCACGATAACTCGCAAAATCTACAGAGGACCTACTACTATACACCCCAGTAGGAGTTCCAAGCATTTTACATATATTTAAATATATTGCATATATTAAGTCAACCAATCACAGTAAACTTATGAATTAGAAACTATTATTCACCATTTTTACAAGGAGAATAGTGAGTTAGATCATAGTTACAGAGGAGAACCGTGAGTTAGAAAATCACTTAGCTTGAAAGTGGCAGAGCCAAGATTCAAATCCAGGCAGCCCAGTTCTTCACCACTGCATAGGAATAACAGACAGATGTGATGGTGGGAAGACATTCTGCAGAGGATCTAAAGTCACATCATTTAGATCCCGTGTCATAGACTGTTAACCTTCATGCTTCCTCTCTATGTGCATGCTCATAAATCAATGGCATACACTGATGGGGGCAAGCCCCGAGTCGATGGGGAAACCCAGAATAGCCCAGAGAACCCAGAATATGTGTTTTCAGGAAGTTGCAGGATGATTCTGATGTGTGTCCTGTTGTTGCGGGGCCATCCAAAGTATACATGGGAGGCGCCAGCCTTCATGTCCCAGAACACATGGTCACTCTCTGGGCATGCATGGTTACAAGGCACAGCATGAAGGGCTGGAAACCACTGCCAGAAGTCAGTGTGCCAACCCTGGGGCTTGAATTTGACCAACCCCCAGTTGGATGGAGGCTGCAGAAAGTCAGGGCGAGGCGGCAGGAAAGCCCCTGCCTGGACTCCATCTTCCCGGTTTTCCTTTCTTTTGTTTTGCTTTAAAATTCTGAACTGCCTCTGATCACAACATGGAAATGGGCTGCTCAGGGAGCCTCCCTCCTCCTGCAGCTGGAACAAATCCTGTGGCCAACGGTAGGACTCTCTAGTTAGGTTCCACTTGCTAACACTCCACATCACTCTGCGTTGATCAGGAGAGATCATCTGGGCCACACCCACCATCCAAGCCACATCTGGTGACACCTGTCTCCTACCTAGGCTTGTCCTGTGCATCTGACTGATCAGCCAGCACCCTGGTCCAGACCCTGCAGCTGTAGGGGGCAGCCTGGGACAGTGACAATAAGCAGCACAGTGTCATAGATGAGAGCCAGGCTGCTTGGGCTCAAATCTTTGCTCTGCCATTTACCATTGTGACCTTGGGCCAGTTACTTCACTTCTTTGTGCCCTGGCTCCTCCCTGTTAATTGAGGATTATGTTACCTGTCCCCCAGGGTCGTTGGCACGATCCAGAGAGATGATTACAATGTCTGCCAGGTGAGTAGAAGAGCCCCTAGCAGGTAGGAGGTGCTGGATGAAGCTTGGTTGCCCTCCCCTGAGGAAGTTCACAGCCTCATGAGGGAGGGGGCCACAGCTGGGTAGGAGTTCAACAGAAGCAGCCGAATCCTAAGGCTGCAGGTTAGGTGTGCCCAATGTGTACGCAATGAGTTCTGCTCAGAGAGAATGACCACCATGGACCACCGCAGTGATCAGAAGTTATGGAAGGAGGGGCAGGAGGGGGGGTTGGCCCTTAGTTGATGGGGCCTCTTCGGCATGACTGGCAGGAGCAGAGGGGTGCATACAGCCAGAAGCAGCTCTGAGAGATCGAGTTCTTTCCTGCCTCACTGGATGTGGGCAGGGTGTTTGAAGAACAACGGGAAAAACCAACATGACTGTCACACGGTGCCGAGGGCAGGATCAACAATAGAAAAGTCTGGAAAGGACTGTGCTGATTTGCGAAGGGCCCTGCAGCTGAGCTGGGCAGTTTGTAGGACACAGGGAGCCCCTGAGTATTCTTAGGCGAGGAGGTGACTGCAGCATCGGGCCCTGGATGACCTGCTGAAGGCAGAAATGGAAAAGCAGACCCCATAAGCCCAGACACGGGCCAGAGAGGGTCCCTACCACCCCTCTAGGCTTCTCCACAGGAGCTGGGCAGGTGGAGAGGGTGGAGGAGAAACCCACGACCCTCCTCTCTGTGGTCCCCACAGCCTGCTTCTTTCTTTAGGTGATCCTCTCCAAGACCGGCCACCGAACATCCCTCTGCCCAGCCCCTACATCACCTTCCACCTGTGGACAGACCAGGAGCAGCTCTGTACGTGCCCATGTCTCTGACCAGCCCCCCTTGGGAGCTGGCTGGAAACAGTGGTGTGTGTGCTTATGTCTGTGAGTGTCTGTGCACACGTCTTTGTGTGTCTGTTTCTGTGTGCTCCTCTGTATGTGTGCTGTGTGTCTGTAAGCCTAGCTCAGTGTTCTCTGTTCTTCCCCAAGTCGTTCGTTGCATGCACCTGGAACAATGACACATTTTCTCCATGTTGGGATAGCTCAGGGTTTTAGCCACTGGTCTCAGAACATGCCACTAGGCCATGTTGATGCCAATAGACAATGTCCCCAAGAGAGAGGCTAGCACAAAGCATTATGATTCCCAGGGCTGGAGGGGACCTTCCAGAATGACCTGCTTGTCCAATGTTTCCCCTTCACTCTGGTGTCCCCCGTCTTGTCTCTTTTCAAGCAAAAGAGGGAGGTCAAGGATGTATGTTTTGGTGGGAAGTGCAGGGCTAGGGGACGGGGTTCAGATCCTGACATTTGATTTTGCATGCTTTTGGGTCATGCTGTGCAAATGTGCTCCTCACTCTGGGCCTCAGTTTCCCCATGTGTGATAAAACAAAGATAGATTAGAAAAGCTCGAAAATCTTCCCTGGAGCTGATGGTATCCTTCTGGAAGCTACAGGGAATAGAAGGTTGGGAGGGTGCCAGACTCAGCTTAATTCAGGAGGTGCTGGGTTAAGCTGATTTCTTTAATGCAGGACTTCTCAGATCCTTTAATATCTTCACTTATGGGATTCAACCCAAAGGGACAGAAGTGTGAAGGGTTCTGAACCTTTGTTCCTTTGTAGAGCATCTTGTGGGCTTCTTCAGCTGAACAGGGTTTGAGAAACATGGAACCTTCATGGCTTTTCTGGGGAGGGGCCCTGCCAGCCCCAGATGCCCTGACCACTCTGACACTCCTCCCTGTGCTCCCGTCCCAGGGAAGGAGCTGGTTCTCTTCCTCCGCCCACGATCCCAGCTGCGCCTCAGTGCTGACCTGGAGGCTTTGGATCTGCAGGGCCTTGGGCCAGACCGGGACTTGGCCCGGGTGTCCATGCTGTCCACTGACAGTGGCATTGAACGAGACCTTCCTGTGGGAGTTGATGAGCTCCCTGCCCCCGGCAGCCCGGAGACGGAGCGGGCCGGCCTGCAGCGCAAAGGGGGCATCAAGAAGCGCATGTGGCCCCCGGACTTCTTGATACCTAGCAGCTGGGATGGGCCACTGGGGCTGCACCGGAGGACAGGCAGGCCCAGTGGGGATGGGGAGCTGCTGCCTGGGGTCTCCCGGCTGCACACGGCACGGGTGTTGGTGCTGGGGGACGACAGGATGCTGGGGCGCCTGGCCCAGGCCTACCACAGACTCAGGTAGGCCCCCAGGAGGACGGCTGGGAGCAGAGGTGGGTCAGGGGCACAGGTGGGCCTGGTGTGTGCAGGTGAAAGATCAGAGAGGAGCAACTGAGGGTCAAAAGGAGAGGTTTGGGTGGGACAGGGGACCAACACAACATAGCACACCCTGTGTGCAGCCATCACAGAGCACTGCCTGGGAGTCATGACTGCACCCATTTCACAGATGAGAAAAACAGAGGCTTCCAAAATTCCAATAATAATAAATGGCAGAGTCATATCGGTTTCACGCCAGTCCCCTGCCCCTGCTCTTACTGTCTGTGCTTTGCTATCTACTGCCAGGAAACGGGAGACCCAGAAGTTCTGCCTCACTCCCAGACTCAGCCTGCAACTCTATTACATCCCCGTGCTGGCGCCTGAGGTGACTGGACTCAGGAGGGGTGAAGGGACCATAGAGAAGGAGTGGAGGAGGGCTGGGAGCCCGGGGGGTGGGGGGCGAGGGGAGCTGGGTGGGCAGAGACACATCTGCAGCCTGGCATCTCCTGGCTCAGGAACCAGAATCACCAGCCTTAGAAGGCAGAGCTGGCAGAGACTTCTGATTCAGAAGAGTCTTCTGAATCAGAAGTCACAGGTTTGGGGGTGCCTTGGCGGGGTGGGGGGGGTGGTACATGTAGCCAAAGACAGATTCTCTCATAGTGCCAGTCTGCACTGGGTTTCATTTTGTTTTTGCAAAGGAGTTAGTTGCAAGCTTCTCCTCAGACGTGAGTGTCCCTCTCTCTGTCACTCTCATGTGCACACACAGGCGCACATACACCCACACACCTGGATTCCTGAGATCACTTGCCAACGTCCCTGGCAAGTGATCCTTGGCAAAGGCTCTTCCTGCTTCGCCTGAGCTAATGAAGAAGAAGATTAATTTGTCTTTGCATTGTGTGGATATTGAGGCCTGGAGAAGGTTAAATGATTGACCTACATTCATAAAGCACAGGCCCTGGTGTCTGGGGTCCTCTGACCAGCCAGGGAGGGCCTAACAGGTCTGTCCCATCCCCTTTTCCCCAGGAACCCTCAGCATCCAGGCAGCCGGAGCTGGGAGAGCTGGCTGCGTTCCTGGGCCGCGCAGACCCGTGGTATGAGAGCACCGTCAACACCCTGTGTCCCGCCATCCACAAGCTGGCTCAGATGGTAGGGGCTGTGAGGTGCGAGGGAGGGAAGGGCAGAGGGTCTGTGCAGAATGGGAGACAGAGGAGCCAAGTGGGGGAAGGAGGGCGGGATGGAGTGGGAGGAGGTCCTTTGGAGATATTACACTTGACCCTTGACCCTCAAGAGACTGTCTCCAGGGTGCTGAGGAGGGTAAAAGGGAATGCAAAGAAGAGCCCCCTTCAACCAGTATCTGGAAAGACACTGATTTTGGTCCAGACTGTTACAGAAAAGGCAAAGTAAAATATCCTTTTATAAATGGGTAGACCAAGGATAGCCCTTCTTTGGTGAGCTTTCTAGGATCATTTTTCTGTGATTGTAACAACCAGTGTTTCCTGAGCACTTACAATGCTCTAAGTACTTACACCAAGAGACTTGCTCATCCAATTCTCACACCATGCCCCAGGTAGGTACTCATGTCTCCAGGAGAAATTGTTGCTATAACCCCATTTTACAGATCAAGAAATTGTGGCATGAAGAGATTTGATTACTTGACCCAAGCAATGTAAATGAGTAGTGGTGTCCCACATAGAACCAGGCAGGCTGACTCTGAGCACATTCTCTGTTAAAAGAATAGACCATTTGTCCATAGCCTAAGTATGTCTGGGAGTGGGGAGAGAACTGGCCTGAGAAGGCCTTTATGTATTCAGAGTTATACCCTTTTTATTGTCATAGATGTTGCAGACTTTTTTTTTTTCTCTTTGTAATTTACCTATCAGCTATTTGCCTTGCACAATTTAACATTTTTGTGTAGACAGACGTTTCACTTTTATTCTTTATGGCTTCTGCCTTTGGGGCCATGCTTTGAAAAAACTCTGCCAAGATTAAATATTCGCTGATAATTTACCCAAAACACTTTTAGTGCCTCTATTCTTGCATTTCATTAATTAGCCCGTCTGCAATTAATTTTAATGATTTGTGTGAAATATATAATTTTTGTGGAGTTTTTTTTCCCCCAAAGGTTTAACCAGTTGTTTCTAAAGCTCTTAATTGCATAAACCATCATGCCTCATGCATTTGATATGCCACATTTATCATTTATAAATTCTTACATATGCTGGAGTTTATTTCTGGATACCTATTATCTTCCGTTGATCTATGCAATTCTGTACACGTTAACACTTTTCTATTTTAATATCTGGCAGGGTAAGGTTACACTTACTCTTCTTTTACAAAATTTTTCAGATTGAGCTTGTTTATTTATCTTTCCTTATAAACTTTAGAATTGCATTTCAAGTTTTAGTTTTATTTTCTTAAACTCTTTTGGGATTTTGATGGCTAAATTTAGAGGAGAATTAGCATCTTGAATGTATTAAGTTTCCCCTCTCTGGGATATAACTCTTTATTTATGAAAAACCTCTTGTTTATCCATCAGTATAATTATAGTTTTCATCACAGAGCTTTTGCCCATTTTTCACGAAACTTATTCCTTATGTTTGATAGTGTTTCTTGCTGTTGGGAATAGTTATCTTTCTCCCATTGCATTTGGGAGAACCTATTTCTAATATAAAAGGAAGTTATTGATGTGTCGAGATTGTTTTAGTTTTTTTTTTACATTTATGGTAAAAAATATGTAACATAGAATGTATCACTTTACCCGTTTATTAATTAGTTAATTAATAGATTTAGAGAGCTTCAGAGCTCAAAAACAAAAAGATCACATGGTTCAACCTCTTGTTTTCCCTTGAAGGAAACTCAGGCCTCAAAAATGAGTAACCAATCCAAACCTAGAATCCCAACAGGCTCTTTCATCTTGAGTTATCTGTGAAAGAATCTTCCCTCTTCCCAGCATCCAGCATGGCGCCTTACATCTTTAGGTGCTCAATATGTCTCTGTGGAATTGAAATGGAACAGATTTCCTGGGGAGATGGAACTCTGAACAAGTATATTTTGATTGGTGGTCAGAAAGGTTTGGAGTGTGTTGAAGGACCAGAGGGGTTTGTCCATCATAGAGTGTATGTGGGGGCTTTGGAATGTGGCACCTCCTACAGTATCCTGGAGGGAGATGGCTCAAGATATCCCCACCCCCACCCCATAGCCTCCTTGCTTGGACACATCCCGGACTGTGGATCCGTTCATCCTGGATGTCATCACCTACTATGTTCGCATGGGGACCCAACCCATCTATTTCCAGATATACACAGTCAAGGTAAGTCCCCCCCACCAACAGGGCTCCCAGGCTACCATGCCAGCCTGCAGAACCCCAAGACCTTACCACCTAAGTATCCTGGCTCTAGGGAAGCACTGGTCACCAGGCTGCAAATCATGAATGAACCCAAATACTTTTGATTGTCAACTTTAACTTCTTAATCTCTGGATGAATCTGATCATTATTAACTTCCAAGACCTCAGATCCAAGCAGATGGCTGGGAATCAGGGACCGTCTGCTCTGAATTCTGTTTTCCAGCCTCTGGTCATGAATTCCCATTGCTCCAAGGCTCTCTCATTTTCTCCCCCATGACACCTCGCTTCAGACTCCAGGAGACCTCTAGATTGCTGCCCATTCTCACATACACCCTCCCCTGCTGCCCCACTTCCTTCCCCGCTAGTCAATTTGTCATCTGAACCATTCTCCTCTGGTCCCTCGCTTTCTTTTCCATGCCTTCTCTCCTCTCTCCCCTCCTGCCAAAATCCAAGCCCAGATCAGTGCTACGATGTGCCCTACATTTTGCTAAAGTTGGGCTTCCGAGGCCCCTTGGCTTGATGTCTCCTCACATTCCTAGTGTCCACCCTCTGCAGTGCCCACGGAGCTTCCTTGGTGAGCTCCCTCTTACCCTGGGACAATGACTATTCCAATCTTCCGCCACTTTCCTCAAAACCTTTCATTCAGCAAAGGACTTGTCCACCCACTCCACTGAACAAAGGGAAAGGGAACTATTAAGTCCCCCCAAACTCCCTACCCACACCCAGAAATGCATCTACACCCATCCCATCTTTGCAGACTCCTAGAGTGGATGTGGACCTCCTCCTCCAGTTCAGAATCCCTCACCTATTCTCTCATCTCAAATGCTCTCACTTCCTCCTGGACCTTCCTCCTCTATCATTGGCTTTCACCTGTCCCTCACCATCATTTGGTCTTGGTAACAGAAAACGAACAAAACAAACTTTGGAGAGTGGGGGCGGGGTACTGGGAATTGAACTCAGGGGCACTCAGCCGCTGAGCCCCCTCCCAGCCCTATTTTGTATTTTATTTAGAGACAGGGTCTCACTGAGCTGCTAAACACCTCACTGTTGCTGAGGCTGGCTTTGAACTCGCGATCCTCCGGCCTGCTGGGATTATAGGCATGCGCCTTGAGCCCATCGATAATGAAGTTCCCACTTATTTTCCCCTTAAGGGTATGCATAGCAACAGGGCTTGGTAGGAGCAAACTGGAAGTATTAGACTTTTTTCAGGTCTCTGTTTTATCTCTGACTTTCTTTTCCCCTCTCTGTCTCAAAGTTCCACACTTTGGGTGGCATTCAATGGTGAAAGAATTTGACCTAAATCCTTTAATTCCCAGGATTACCCAGTTCTTATGAGCTGATCCAGGTAGAAAGGACCTATTTGGGGAAGGCTGTGGCTTTTTTTTTTTTTCTCTCTGCTCTAAGATCATTGGTGTTTTCTTAGTGGCCCTTCCTACAGAGACAACAGAAGTGGCCAATACACTTGCACCCTGGCTTTATTCTGCCCAAACCCTTAAAGCTCCAGCCCCAGGAGGCACATGGTCTGAGCTCCAGGGTGCAACAGGCAGCACCACTATAGAATGGGGACTCCTAAATCCCTCACCAGGAGGGAAGGAGTCTCATTGCCATCCATCCTGCTTGTCCCCATCAATCCCTTCTTTTAGCATCTTTACTTAAAATTCTGTTCCTGGCTCCTGCTTTGTTTTGCAGATTATTTTAAGGCTCTGTTTTAATTCAAAATGTCCAGATATGTTTCTGGTTCATAATTGAACAGGTTTACCAGGAGATATCATGAAAAAAAAAAAAACCAGAGAGAGAGAGAGATGGCTAATAATTCACATAAGGAATAAAGACATTTGAGTTACCCAGGGCCTTTCACATTCTAGGCAAGCCTTCTACCACTGGACTACATCCCCACCCCCTTTAAGTTATATTAAGATTTGTCATTGAGGTGGGTTTGTTCAGATAGTATTAAAATGTACTTATCTAACAAACAGCTTTTGAATTTATATTATACAGCAACAGGAAACAGGGATTATAAAATACTTCATATTCCATTTTTTTTCTTTAATAAAGGACAACTATGAGTTAGCGTTAATATGACTATTAGTTTTTGTTGACAAAATCTCTGTGTATTTATGGCATATAATATGTTGTTTTGCAACGTATAAGCATTGTAGAATAACTATATTGAGATCATTAACATGTGTTATCTCAGGGGCACTTGACCACTGATCTACATTCCCAGTGCTATTTTGTATTTTATTTAGAGACAGGGTCTCACTGAGTTGCCTAGTGCCTCACTTTTTGCTGAGGCTGGATTTGAACTCAAGATCCTCCTGTTTCAGCCTCCCAAACTGCTGGGATTACAGGCATGTGCCACTGCACCTGGCTTACCTTTGAGTGAATCCACACGTTCCCTAGGTCTGGAATGCCATCTCTCCCCCACCTCATATTCCCTCCTTCACCCCCCACCATGACTCTCCCATCCTATATAAAACTGCCCTGACCTACATTACTCTCACCCCAGCTGGATTGGATACTGCTTCTCCGTGTCACCATAAAGTTCTAGGCGTGACTCTAGCATGTCATCTACTGATCTGTAATATTCCTGCAGAATACATCGATCCTTACCCAAAATAGGCATCCTTTGAAATAAGTAATTGTCCACTCATCCTTGAATCTCCTGTATTACGCGCGTCTATGTGTAGATGTGCATGGAGTCGTGCATGAGCACTAAAGTAAATGCGAGAATGTGTCGCTGCGGTCCTGGGGGATCAACTGGTGGAATGAATGTTCAATTAGAGGCACTGTGTGCCAGTAAAACATTCGTGGCTGTGCCCTCTGGTTCCTCCACTTGCTGGCTTTGAGATCATGGGCACCACTCCCTCTCCAAAATTAATTTTCCCCAAATTTAAAATGGGAATATAATCTTCACCTATCATAATGTTTCGGTGAGAATTCAACTGAGTAGAAAAATATAGTAAAGAGATGGCAAAGATGAGGGCAAGGTGGTGGACATACAAAAGATGCCAAGACAGTGTGAAGAACTTAGATTAGGATCCCTGCTTTGCTACTTGAGACCCTGGGCAAGTTTAACAACTCAGAGCCTGAATTTTCAGACCCCTCAAATAAGGCCAAAGACCTACTTCCCTGGATGGCCATAAGGATTAAATGAGATCATGTGTGTCAAGTGCCCACCAGAGTGTCCAGTACAGAAGGGTCTCCCAATGAAAGAAATTCTTGAGCCCTCCTGGGTTTCTGTCCCTTGTTCCTTCATGCTTTTGAGCTCCTGTATCCAAAGGTCCAATCTACCCACAGTCTCCCAGCAAACCACTGTGATATAGTCTTGGTTATAGATATGTCATCCCAGAGTGCAGTTGGGGTCACCCTGCTACTGAAAACCTAATTGATATTTGCCTGCCTCCCCATTTCACATTCTAGAGAAGGTCACATGCCCTGACATTTCTGCAGGCGCCTGCTAACTGATACCTCACATCCATCTCTACTTCCAGCTTCCTATCTTACTGAATTTTTATTCTTTAGTCTGCATCCTGAAGTAGATCTTTTACTTACTGCTTCCCTGATTTTGACCTAAATACAGGATTTAGGTCCTTTCCTGGAATTCCAAAAAGCAAAATAAAACACTAAAACACAATCATCTCACAATGGCAAAGGAAATAAACATCTTGTCAACACAGATACCTTAAAACTAATGCTTTGGCATCTCTCAGTACTCTTCAACCCTGGGTCTGGAGAGTTCTGGTAACTGCTGTTTGCTAACTTGTTGCAATGAGGGAGAATGCCCACTAAGGGGTGCCATGGGGCATCACAACAGGCTGCCAGGAAGAACCTAACTCTTGAATTTGGGCTCCTTTTCCAGGATTTGGGGGAGGGTTCCCGAAAGCAAGAGTCTTTTTTCTTGAATTGGATGCTGGCAAGAAATGGGAGTAAGTCAGTGAGTGACTGGGCTTCTCAGCAATTTTTACTAGAGAAGCTAAGAAGTCAGCTAAAGAATTGTATTGCTGGCATGGGGGGCAGGGGGGTGGCTGCGCAATGTCCCTGTTTGTGTCTGTTTTTGGACATGTTTGTGGAGTGGTCCGGTTTTGTCTTGACCCATCATGGTCATGTAGCATGGCTTGCATATTGGCTAATGACATCAGCATCCATGAAGTTGCTAATGGTCAAGAGGACACACCATGGCCTCCCTCCCAGCCTTAAGACGCTTCATTTCTCCTCTCCACATTCCTGTCCTCAAAAAATCCTTGGTCACTCTTTCATGTTGTCCAGACACCCTTCCTCTTCCCCCAGCCATCCCTGGTCCTCAATGTGAATTTTGTCTCCCACCCTCCCTGCCCCTTTAGACGGTAGTGGTTACTAGGTAGTTTGGGTTTTTAGCCATAGTTTCTTCCAATATTTATAAAGATTCATATGCTCCTTAACAACAGAGACATGATTCGAGAATTTTGCCTTTGGATGATTTTGTCATTGTGAAAACATTCTAGAATGAATGAATTTACACCAGTCTACATGGCATCTTGATGTGCACTTAAGAAACTTGGTAAACACGAGATATATAAAGTGTCTGCTGGCATATCAGGGCACGCTGATTTACAGGGAGCTGTTTCTTATTTATATGTAGAGGGAATACACTCTAAAATAGCAATTAAAACAGTGTAATATACAACCTAGTAGCATAATCATGTATAATCATCTTCAAATACTATATGCATAATTGTATGTATGATGCCTTTATATGACTGGCAGCACAGGGTTTTTTCCGCCAGCATTGCCACCAGCATGTGAATAAGATGCTGTCCCATGCACTTGCCTCTCTAGGTGATGGGGATTTTTGAGCTCCATTGTAATCCTGTGGGACCGCTGCTGATATGTATCCTATTGACGACCAAACTATGGTTACATGACACATGGCTATATGTCATGTTGCTGTAGATAGGGATAGATTCAAACCCAGGTAGTCATTTCATGCAGCTCAGAATCTAGCATTGGGCAGGTTGGGTGGGGGACACCTGCCCCTTCTCTGGGCATCCTCAGGCTGTGGAGTCAGAAACAGCCTTCTCCATATCTCCTCTCTTTCTTCCCTCCCTCCTATCCCCTCTCCCTTCTCTTCCTCTCTTCAGATGTTTAGCGACCTGAGCCGGGACCCTACAGAGGACATTTTCCTCACTGAGCTAAAGGTGAAAATTCAAGACTCCAAGATCCCCAAAGGTGAGCATCTACTTCCCTTTTCCCAGAGGGAAAATGATACCCACACACTTTTCCTCCCACCTCTCAGCCGGTGACACCACTTCATCCATCCTTGCTGTACCCCACACCTCTGCTGAATGCCAGGTCTGCCCTCCCCTCCCTCCAAGATCCCCCAAAAGGCAGCATGGAACCCACCAGCCATTTGCTGCCCTTCTGTCCAGGGAGAGCTACCTGGTCAATCTAGCAACTCAGCTATGGCCTCAGCAAGGGGCGAAGTCAGGGTGGAGGCTGGGATCTCACATCTCCTGCCTCTGCTCATTTTCCCTCAGAGGGCTTTTCACCCCGGAGGAGAGGTGTGACCGAGGGCCCCGGTGCAGAGCTCTCCATGTGCTACCAGAAGGTCAGTGTATGTGGACATGGCCAGGAGGGACACCTGATAGAACTGGCCTCAGGGACATGGGGTGGGGGACAGAGAAGCAGATGGAGCCAAAGGAGACTTCTTCCCCTTTCTGGAAGGTGCCACCAGTTTCTACATCTTCAGAGGGTTTTGCAAGTCCTGGTGGGTCAAGGTTCACCTTATAATACAGGAGATGATGAGATCTAAGAAACAAGAGCGCTGTCCCCTGGCTCAAAAATCTCTTCCTCCCCCGTTGACCACATGCTTGCACTGATGGCACTGGGGTCTTATTCCTTTGGGACTGGGAGGCTGCCTGTGCTTGCTGGGGCTAGTAACACTCCAAGACTCTCTCTGCTGGTCCCTTCTGGGAATCAGTGACATGGACAAGAGGCTTAGGGCAGGTGTGGGAAGCCCAGGGGAGGTGAGACTGTGCATGTGAGGATGCATGGTGCTGGCACACCCGGAGAGCCCCCATCTGTTGCTCAATCCCCTCTCCCCAGGCCCTGCTCAGCCACCGACCCCGAGAGGTCACCGTTAATCTGAGGGCCACTGGGCTGGTCCTGAAGGCCATTCCAGCCAGTGAAACGGAAGGTGAGGAGCTAGGAATACAAAGCAAAGAAAGAGAAGGGATCAGAAGAGGAAAGGTGGGGAGAGAGGAGAGGAGAGAACCAAGCATTAGGAGCCAGGGGGAGCCAGGGGAGGGAGACCCCACATCATCCCCACCATCACAGAACCCAGGCTGGGTTGAGCTGAGCCCCATGCTGTGCTGTTTGAAGCATGGTCCCTGTCCTCAGGTGACTTCCTATCAAGTACCCCAGTCTCCAGCACAGACCTGGAGGCTGCACCTCTGCATCTGGAGGAACCCAAGGAAGCATTGCTGGTGACCTCTCACCTTTGAATTGGGCTTGCCTGCAGGATGGGTTGTGTTGTTTAGGCATTTTGGATTTTTTTTTTTTTTGGACCAGGGATTGGACCCAAGGGTGCTTAACCACTGAGCCACATCCCCAGCCTTTTTTATTTTTTTGAAGCAGGGTCTTGCTAAACTTCCTAGGGCCTCACTAAATTGCTGAGGTTGGTTTTGAACTTGTCATCCTCCTGCTTCAGCCTCCTGAGCACTGGGATTACAGGAGTAATCCAGGAGTATGGAAATTTTGGATTTTGAACACTGCTGCAAAAAAAATGGAGATAATAAAAGATACCAATGTATGTGCATATAAATTATAAATATTAGCTCTCACTGTGAGATCCCTGGTCTCCTGGAATAATGGGAAGGACAGCAGTGTGACTTACAAACCATTCCACACATGTATAAAAGTGGGGAAGGGTGTTGTGTTTGACCCATGAACTCCTTTAAGCATGTTAACCCCATGAGATAGGTATTACTAGTATTACTAACTTTTTACTAGAGAGAAAACTAAAATAAAGAAAATAACTTACCCAAGGTGACCTCTGAGGAAGGGTCAGAACGGGGGTCAAACCCAGGCACCTTCACACTACATTCCTCACCACTGCTCCACACTGCCTTCCTAGGGTGGCCAGAACTCACTTCAGGGATGTGACCCACAGATGCTTCTAGAGATCACTTCTGAGCAAACAAGAAAATTCACTCCCATCGAAAGATACTTTGTTCCCCACTCTATTCCCTGTGCCCCACCCCATGTCTAGGTTCACAGTAGATATTCAGTGAACATTTGCTGAATAAATGAAATGCTCCTTTACACACTAACATTTGTTTTAAAAATGAATGAATGATGCTGGGCGCAGTGGTGCACGCCTGTAGTCCCAGCAGCACGGGAGGCTGAAGCAGGAGGATCGAAAGTTCAAGGCCAGCTTCAGCAACTTAGTGAGGATCTAAGCAACTTAGCAAGACCCTGTCTCAAAATAAAAAATAAATAAATAAAAAAGTGTAGGGGATGTGGCTCAGTGGTTGTGTACAGGTTTTGTACACATACAGAATGTGTGCTGTGAGAAAGTTTCACGTGTCATCTGCAAATTCCACTTGCCTAGAAGCGATTTTATCAGAAACGGATATTATTTCTAGAGTTTCTTCTTTGCACCAGATACCAAAAAAGTTGAGAATCTGTGATGCTTTTCTAAGAACACAATGCACAGCAGACAGAAAAGGGACGCTGTAGGATGAAAGCAAAGTCATTGAAAATTTAGAGACAGAGTCCTGGTACCAAAAAAAAAATTTGGAATATTCCATAAGAAACACAGAATGAAAACAAATATTTCAGGCTGAAATGCTACTGAAGAAGCTAAGTCTGATCTTTCCTATTCAATTACCAATAAGGTCATCCGTGTGACCCTGGTCAAGTCACCTGCAACCTCTTCACTTCAAGAGATTTTAATAGAGTTAATAGACACTAATTTGTGTGCATATAGCAAACTATAAATGTTAGCCCTCATGGTTAACTGTATCCTTTCACAAATGTCCTCCCAGGACTGGTGTGGTGATGCCAAAACTTCCTTTGAAGGCACAAACACCTAAAAACCCTCTGTAGTTGGCAGGGAGGGATTATACCTGGCAGCAGCCACATAATTATGATTTTTGACATATTATACACTATTGAGAAAGTTGAAGAAACTCTCTCAACTCTTTGGACCAAGACCCTCCTAGACACCTTGACCTACCTGTTACCTGGGCCAGGTGTTCTCTGAATTCTTAACAAGCCCAATAGTTGCAGAGAAGTTCAACAGAACTTTCTTCCTTTGAAAAAATGGGTGCAAGAAGAGATAAAGAAAGGTTGGTGGGTAGGGATTTGGGTCCACAATATGGTTGCTGGGTCTGGACTTCCAGAACCCTTGTTGATTTTCCGAGAAGAAAGATGGATGTTGAGGAAGGCGTTGAGACTGGGTAGGACCAAGATGGAATCAGGAAGTGTTAGACAAGCAGGGTGTGGGAGGGGGCTAAATAGGGAAGAAGGGAGGAGGGTGGGTTTATGGTTGTCTTCTCAGGGACCAGAATCTCCATCTCCTCTGTTTCCCTGGACACTCATTCATGTCATCCCCATCTCATTCAGTTTCAGGGTTCCCCCACTGCCCCCCAACTGCTGCTCCAGTTATGGACCACACATGTCTGAATGTCAGTGTGACCGAGGTGGTCAAGTCCTCCAACCTGGCAGGAAAGTCCTTCTCTGTAAGTACAGGGAGGAATGGGACAGGGAGACAATGAGATGGGAATGGGGTAGGTGGCTGGGATCCCTGAGGAGAGCGCATCCAGAAAAGGGGAACTGGCTTGTTACCTTTGCTGCTGAAGTGGAGCTTCATACGGGAGATAATCCATTCTCCCATTGATCTGAAATACTGAGCACCATCTGGTACAAATAAGGCACTTGAAAATTTAAGGCAATGCCCTCCCTCTGCTGACTCTTTGAGGACCTAAGACTGCCCCAGACAGCCACACAATGCACCCTCATCCAGTCACCCCAGGCACTATACAGCAGACTCCTCAACAACCCAGCGCAGCCTTTGACCATTTCAAACCAGCTCTTGCAACAGTGTCACCCTACAGCCACCCTTGCCCCTTTACCTGGCCTTGATTGATACTGATAGAGACATAGGACCCATCCATTTTCTCTCTATCTGAACTTCACTCTCTATTCAGCCTGATCCTGGAGTCCTCTCATTATGTCCAGGTGTAATCAGCATGCTCCATGGTCAAGTTGACACCCTCAGCTCCCAGCAGACGCTAGCTTTAGATCAAGTTGCCTACGCAGCAGTCCGTATGCCCCTGTGGCTGAGAACTTCTGAAATAAATCCTGCATCCGTGTTGGCTAAGCCCTGGCAAATTCACGACCTCCCAGCTCACCCAGACCCTTTCCTGTCTTCTCAACTCCCTCTACCAGTGTGCAGTTCTTTTTTCTCTTGTTTTGAAATCTTTCTTCCTCTCTCTCCTGCTCCTTCTTCACATCCAGTAAAGATATTCAGGCCTTTTTTTATCCTAAAACCCCAAAGCAACTCTGCTGGGACCCCACTACCTCTCCAGTGACCTGCTGTATCACCTTTCTTCCCTTCTCAGTCAAGCCTTTTGAAAGATGCCTCTAGAAGCTTCCAGTCCCTTTCCAGACTTTTCTGCCCAAAACCATCTCCTTTGACTGTGGCAAAGTCACCTCCCTATTATCAAAACCAATGGTCACTTTTCAGTCCTTCTGTTTCTTGAACATTTTTCAAGATAAGGTCTCAACCCACAAACAAAAGTTTCATTATTTATTTGGGGAAATACAAAAATAACACAAAGAAGTAAGTTCACTAGTAGTCCCAATACCTGGTGTAGGATGACATTAACATTTTCAGGTGTAAACCCCTAGCCTTTTCTTCTATCTATTTTTACATAATTTGATAACTGCAGTACATAATGGTCTGTAATGATGTTTTTATTAAAAAATATACTAAAGCCCTGTGTATGTATCCTGATGGCACCTTCTTTATGTCATTAAATATATTTTGTGTCCTTCAATATATTCCATTCAAAATTTATCATATGGTGGTTATATATGCCTGAATAATTATGGAAATGATTTTTATAGGCCATTCCTGGAAGTGCTCATTTTTCTTTATCCTAGGCATATTGTGAGGAACCTCCTTAGGGTTAAATATGTGCTAAACATCATGGAAATGCCTTTTTAAAAATATCTAGTAGTGAAATCTTCCAGTTGAAAGACATCCATATGTTAGAATTTTTCATGTACTTTGCCAAATTGCGCTCCAAGTTCCACTCATGGTTGTATGTGAATGCCAGTCTCACAGCACAATCAACATATAAATTGATTTGATTCATTTTTGCAAATCTGATTGTCAATTCATTTTTAATTGACATGTCTTTACCAATTACTGATTGAAAGTTCTCTTATATTTATTGATAATTTATATTTCCTGTATTAATACTGTCGTGTACCTGTTTTATGAGGATGTTAACCCTTTATTTGCCCTATAATTTGGAAATGCTTTTCCAAGTTTGTTGTTTAATATTTTTTTTACCTAAAATAGCTTTATGTTTTGATGTAGCAAAATTTTCCAATTTCCTTCAATCATGTTTGCTTCTGAGATGATTATCCATGACCTATGTCTGACATACCATAATTGTGTACACTACTAAGAAAGAAACAATGTTTCCTGAACTAGGAATAAGGCTCTCTTATCACACTGATTGCAAAAATACTTCCTAATTGTAGAAATATTAAAATATGGGAGGGGGGTGTAGAATTGATGAAAACAACATGCATGTTCCTTTCTTGTAAAGAAATATTCTTTATTTCTTTACTCATTTTAAACATTATAGTCTGAGTTGTACATTTACATTCTCTGTCATTACTGGGAGACTAATCTTTCTGGTGACTGGGTTCATTGATCCCATGGTAGTTCAATTCCTTGTTTGTTTCCTGAGTTATGTGTCATATTTGTTGGGGATTTATCTGTAGCAAACCTGGGTGGGAAAACTGTCCCCCCTAAAAAATTCTGTTTTCTTTGCTCTTGCTAAGTGCCCTGGTGATATTATTGGCTAAAGACCATCGAGTTTCTTTCCTGCTTGGAGGTATGAACTGGCTGGGAAAATAAAAAGCCTGAAAATAATCAGTAAAGAATAAAAGACAAAAATAGAAGTTAGATCTTAAAAGGGGGGGCACCCTGGTGGGTCTCCCAGCCCTGATAGGAACTGGAACTGACCAGCTGAAAAAGGCCTCAATCCTTTATTTAAGGGGAAATATATCGAAAGGTTTTAGTGTGGCAGGCGTCTTGAGGAAAACAGAAGAGTGGGGGAAACAGATTTTGGGGGCTTGGCAGGTTACACCCATCTCTGGTGGCTGCATTCGAACCTTGGGCTGTGAGCTAAGGCAGGGCACCAGTGTGATCTGGGCTTTCTCAAACCAGGGAATTCCACCCAGCAGTTCCCAGAAAAGTAGCCTTCCTGCCTTATGTTGGCTCAAACAAACCCATAATTTATACATGGCTTCCAACACTTTCTGGCTCAGAAACTTCTAGACCATGCAGATAGAGTAAATGTATACCCCAAATCCACATCAACAGCCTTGGAGCTAAGAATTTTCAGGCAAAACTTCTTCCTCACTGACAGCACAAGCCAAAGCTGACAGCCTTCCATGGGGGAAAGCCCTCCGGTTTCTGCTGAAGGGCCTTTTTCTAATTCAGTCTTTCAATGAGAATGTAGCTTTCAAGAATCCTTGAAGGGAATCTGTATCAAATCCCTGCTTCATGTGGGCCCAAAGCCTTGTCTTCCATCCACCATAGCTGTTGAGGACCGAGCCCCTGATTCCTGAGGTTAGCAAAACCTCTGGGCAGCCAAAGCATCTATCTGAATGACATAATTTGACTTCTTTGAAATTCGTTGACATTTTCTTCATTGCCTGGAACATGAAGAATCTTTAAATATCCTTTGACAACAAAACATAGATGTGCTCTCCATCTATAGAATACAAAGTATGGTGTTTGTGAAAGAAAATACATTATATCACCATAATCTATAAGTTAAAATTATTTTTCCACTTCCTCTGTCCAAAACCAAAGAGGGATTTGTTGACCTTCTCACCATGGTTTTGATTTAGTTAATTCTATTTTGATTTCTTTGAATTTGAATTTTTAAAAAATCTTTTCTAATATTGCTGTTCTAAAATATGATGTCTTATGCCCAGTCTCTGCATGAAACTGGTTCTTGTGTTTTTTCTCTCTGGAAGCTTTAGATATTTCATTTCCTAAAGGACTCTGGCATCTTATCATCCTTCATTGTTTTGGACTTTGGATGGACATTTCCAATCTGGAGATTTGCATATCTCCATTCTGAGATAGTCTCTAATACAACTTTTTAAAATTCCCTTCCCTTTATTTCTTTGCTCTTTCTGGGACTACAAATATGGAAATGTTAGGCTTCCTAGATGGATCCTCTGATTTTCTCAACTTCTCTCTCTGTTATTTCTCATTTCTTTGACTTTGGCGGAGTTTTCTTCCAATTAATTTATTGAATATTCAAAGTTCAAAAAAAATCTTCTTTGTTTTTGTTATTCATTTTAGTAGTAATTCTGCTGCCCAAATGCAGTGTCCTATCCCTCTGAAGATAATAATTATGGCTTATTTGAAATTTTCTTCTACTTCCTGAAGGGCGTCTGTTTCCTCTGAATCCTGTTTTTGTTGGCTTCTTGTTTCTCTTCTCTTCTCTTTACTCCCTCCCCCCGTTTTCACCCTCTTCTCTGTAAGGTTGTCTCCAAATATCTGTTCAAATTCAAGAGTGAAGCTCTAAAAAGCTGAGTCAATGGTGGACCTCATGGTGGGTAGTCAGATGGTCACGGTCCATTCCACGGGGGAAACCCAAACATGAGTATCTGTAGTCTCTTTCCCAGAATAGCTTTGTTTTTCCAGAAGAGTCCATCAGGCTTGGGGAGGGAAGGGCTGATGGGATAGGCCTGCTGCTGTGTGTCACTCTGGACCAGGGTTGGGCAAGGCCCTAGGAATCTCACCATGCTGTGAGCAGACTACCACATACTCCACCTGCTGGAGCACAGCCCTTCCCTCCATCTGCTTCCATCGGTGATGTCTCCAAGTCGAGTCTCTGGCTATTTCTCTGACCTCTCAGACAGGGAGAGGGCTTGTGGCTGGGCTGTCCAGGGCAAATGAGAACCTGAAGGATTTTGTCAGATTCTCCTCATTCCTACCAGCTGCAGAGCTGAGAGCCTCCAGCCCATACCCCTTTGCTGTCCAGAATCTTGGTCCTTGTGTTTGACCCTTCCTCTTCTTTGGTAAGTTTCCACTGCCATTTCTCTACTACAGTATTGTGGTGTAGAACTGCAGATGTCTTCAGCTCTTATCAATGATGCACCTCCTTGTTTGGAGGTGGATTCCAAGAGGGGGAAAGTGACACAATATGTACTTTGCCATTTTGAAATCAGAAATCCTCATCCCTTTATTTTAAAAACATTTTTTAATTTTTTTTTTTTTTTTTAGTTATTGATGGACACAAGACCTTTATCTGATTTATTTTTATGTGGTGCTGAGGATGGAACCCAGTGCCTTACACATGCTAGGCAAGTACTCTACCACTGAGCCCCCAGCTCCAGCCCCAAATTTTTATTTTTATTTTAGATATGCCTCTAGTAAATAGCATACAATCGAGTTTTTGTTCAGACTCAGTCTGAA